GGGGGATTTGGGGAGGGGGAATTGGGGAGGGGGGTGGAGGAATTGGGGAGGGGGATTTAGGGAGGGGGATTTGGGGAGGGGGCTGCAGGATTTGGGGAGGGGGCTGCAGGATTTGGGGAGGCTGAAGTGCAAATCGAGACTTTTCTCGCGGCTCATTTTCTTACTTTGGGTTGTCCTCGACACCCCCAGGGGACACCGAGACCCCCCCAGTGCCACCCCTGGGGACAGAGCCCCTGTCACCCCCGGGGGGACACACAGAGACCCCCGCCCCGTCCCTGGGGGCCACTGGGGACCCCCGGTGTCACCCCCGGGGGACAGGAGGGGCGAGCGCGGCTCCGGAGCATGCAGGGACTGGGGACACCTGGGCACATCCTGGGGACACCCCGGGGACATCCTGGGGACACCTGGGGACACACCTGGGGACACCTGGGGACACCCGGGGACACTCACCCGCCCTGGCCGTGCCTGCACTCCGCTGTCGGCTCCGGAGCCACCGCGTGCCCCCCGCGGGGACAGGGACAGTGGGGACACCCCTGGGGGGGTCCGGACACCTCGAGGGACCCTCGGCAGCGGGACATCGGGGTTGGGGCCAGGGGGAGGTGACACCCTGGGACTGGGGGAGGTGACACCCCGGGATCAGGGCCAGGTGACACCCCAGGATCAGGGCCAGGTGACACTCTGGGATCAGGGGGAGGTGACACTCTGGGATCAGGGCCAGGTGACACTCTGGGATCAGGGGGAGGTGACACCCTGGGATCAGGGGGAGGTGACACCCCGGGATCAGGGGGAGGTGACACCCCGGGATCAGGGCCAGGTGACACTCTGGGATCAGATCTGAAGGGGATTTGTCCCCCCGGGATCGGAGCCTTCCTCCCCCCAGGCGCCCCCGGTTCCCCCCGCAATCAGCACAGGCTGCCCCCCAAATCTCCCCCCGGGGAACTGGGGAAGGTGCCCTTGCCAAAGTCTCTGGAAAAGGGAGAAAAAAGCTTTAACCATCCATGGAGCGAAGGGAGGCGGGAAAAAGAAGGCAAAAAGGGGCAAAAAACAACCCACGAGACAAGGAGAAAGCGGCGGTTACAAAACGAGCGGCGGGGCCGGGGCTGCTCCGGCCGCGCGGGGAGCGGCTCCGGGCCCGGAGAACCGGAGGGTCCGGGCTGGGAACGGGCCGGGTCGCCGTTTGAAATGTTTGTTTTGTCTGTTGTGGTTTCCCCGGGCGCTCGGCCGGGCCCGGCGGGAGGCAGCCGGGGCTATTTCTGTCCGCTGATGGACTGGGATATGGAGCGGGGCGGGATCATATCCAGCAGGTATTCCCGCTGCCGGTCCGCCAGGCTCGACGCTTTGTGGCCCCCGATGCCGGCGTTCAGGTACGCGATGTTCACTCCTGGGGAACGGCACGGATCCTCCGGCACCGCCCCACGGCTCTGCCCCACGGCTCTGCCCCACGGCTCCACCCCACTGCTCCACCCCGGGACACCCCGGGACACCCTGGGACACCCCGGGACACCCTGGGACACCCGCAGGGCAGGAAGGGCCAGAATTCCCAAATTCCACCCCAAAATCCCATGGCTGTGGCCTGAGCTGTCCCCCACTGCTGATCCCGTCCCATCCCATCCCATCCCATCCCATCCCATCCCATCCCATGCATCCCATCCCATCCCATCCCATCCCATCCCACCCCATGGATCCCACCCCATTCCCACCCCACCATTCCCATCCCGAGGTTGCCGTACCTGGCATTCCCAGGAGCCCTCCGGCCACGGAGAGCTGCGGGGCCTGGGCGAAGTTGGAGAGCATGGAGCGTGCGGAGGTGGGAATTCCGCGCTGGAGGCTGCTCTGGGGCTGCGGGGCCTGCGGGGCCGGAAAACGGGAACTGGGATCGGGGGGAACGAGGAGAAAGGGCGGCAACCCCGCCCCACCCCGATGGGCACATCCCAGTGTCCCCCCATCCCATTCCCAGTGTCCC